ACAGGCCAGAGGTGCAAGGGCAGTGAGAAGATTCACCAGAGACAGAGTGAGGAGCAGACAGGCAGATCAACAAAGTACACTGCTGAGGAGAGTAGCGGGCAGGTCAGGAGAGGTCTGCTGCACCATATGGGCCACCTCTTTGATCCCACCATGTGTGATCATCTTGTGCTGAAATGGCTTTAGCTTCTTAGTGCTGTGCTTTAATCTGCTGCGCCACCAGGGAGGGCTTATATACTTTTTAACAAAAGACTTGGAGGAAATACACTAAAGTACAAATAGTGAAAGATCCTGAATGGTAGATAAGGATGACTTCTTTCTTTATATTTCTTTTCCCTACATGGATGAACACAAAGAATTCTTTCTTTTACAATTAGAAAAAATACCATATACCTGATTATTTGGGTTTTTTTTTCCCCCCTTTATCGAGGTAACATTAATTTACAACACTATATTTAATTTAGGGGAATAGGATGACACTTTCTCAGTTCTATGTTACCACCTCACCCTATACTTAATTTTTTAGAGGGGACTATTCAAAGCTCATTTCTGCACAGGTTTGGGTGAGCTAGGTTTTAGTGAGGGATGTTTTCCTGTACTTACCACTGTTAAGGCCAGGGAGCCGAAACAGCACCTTCTCTTCCAGCTCAATGCCATGCCTTTGTTTGCCCCCACAGGAGAGCCTAAGAGATGGCTACTGACACAAAGAGAAAGAGCAGCAGCGAAGGCCCTGATGGCACATTGGCGCCTACTGATGGGCAGAATGTGGAAAGAGCTGAGAGCCCCACACCAGGACTGACCCAGGGAAAGGAGCCAGGTATGGGCAGGGGTGCGACCCCGGGCAGCTGACAGCGATAGCGGCCGCCAGGGCATTGGAGTCCCACCCACTCTCCTTCCCATTCCGTCACATGTTTGTTCAGTCACTCATGGGGTATGTGTCCGGGACAGGGGTACTGTTGGGAACCAGGCTCAGTCTGCATCCCACCCTCCTCTTTACTTCATGTCCTTTCACTCACCCTGTGCTGGCTGCGTGCAAGCATCTGTTGCTCCTATTCCCTATGTCTACTGTGGAGCTCCCTGATGTTCCCTCTCTCAGCTTAAGTGTCACCTTCTCACAAGCTAGGCCTGCTCTACCTATGCCCCGGGTAGGCCAGTAGTTACTTTGCCATTTTATTTGTTTATGCATGTATTACCCATCTCTCTTCCACAAGATGGTGAGCTCCTTGAGCACAGAGCAGTTAGATTCCAGTGCATGGTACAGCAACTTGTAATAGAGGCTCAAAATATATCTGTTCTATTGAACTAGTCTGTCAAAAACAAAAAATGAATCAAGGAGGACTGACTTGGTCCCTGGCTTGGGGAACCTACAGGCTAGTGGGACTATTACAGTGGATTGAGCAGGGTCAGGGAGTCTTTTCCCAAGGAAAGAGATTCACCAACAATAGGCAGCATTTCTGAATGTGGTCAATGTTCCAGGCACAGAGCAAGGTGCTGACACATAGCAGTGATTAAACGGTGCCTGTCCTTTGTGGGGGGATGCGATTGTAGTGGGGGGGACAATAACTGACAAGTACCATGGATGGAGATATGATAGGGTGCCTGGGCTGGGAACTCAGGCTGGAGCTCTTTGCCAAGAGCTGAATGTATCATGGAGTCAGACAGGTGAGGAGGTGACTGTACCTTCTGGACAGAGGGAACAGCAGGTATTGGGGCCCTGAGGTAGGTAAGTAGTTGGTAGGTAAGGAGTAAGTTAGGTGAGCATATTGAGGGTGGACAAAGAGCAGATGGATAAAGGCCAGTATGACCAGGATGGAGAAGGGAGTGGGCTGGGAGAGGCATATGAGAGGCAGGCTTATACCAGCACTCCCCTGCCAGTGTGATGGGAGAAGACTGGTAGACTGTAAGTTGCAAAGGCCTGACCAGAGCAGACAGTAGCAGGAGGGGACATGGACTTCCCCATCTGAATCAGCAGTCTAGGTAGTGCCGTATTAGGCACCTTGCTGGTGAGGTGGTCTGCCAGTGGCTCCCACTCTAAGCATCAGTGCTTTTGGCTGGCAGGTGCTGGGCAGGAGGGTGCCATGTTTGTCCATGCCCGTTCCTATGAGGACCTGACTGAATCGGAGGATGGGGCAGCTGCTGGGGACAGCCCCAAGGAGGGTGCCGGGGTTCCCTCACCGCTGCCTGCAGACATGCGTCAGATCAGCCAGGACTTCAGCGAGCTGAGCACCCAGCTGACAGGTGTGGCTCGAGACCTGCAGGAGGAGATGCTTCCAGGAAGCTCTGAGGACTGGCCAGAGCCCCCAGGGGCAGCCGGGCGACCAGTCACAGAGCCCCCCAGGGAGGGGTCAGGCGAGGGAGATGAGGAGGAGGCTGCTGAGGCATGGCGACTGCACCAGAAGCATGTCTTCGTGCTGAGCGAGGCGGGGAAGCCTGTGTACTCCCGTTATGGGTCGGAGGAGGCACTTTCCAGCACCATGGGTGTCATGGTGGCCCTGGTGTCCTTCCTAGAAGCAGACAAGAACGCCATTCGCTCCATCCACGCAGGTGAGCCACCTGGGGAGGGGAGGCAGAGGGCTCCCTGGCCAGGGTTAATTCATAGCAAGTTTTGGACTCCCATGGACTAGAGGGGCTGGGAAGTGCTGTGTGACCCAGGGCAGTCCCTCCACCTCCCTGGGCCGCAAGGCCCTCATCTGACCACGGGATGATGACACTGCCTCATTGGACTGTGTGAGTACCCAAGGTGACTCTGACATGGGCTTTGTCCCTGGAGAGAATGAAATCCCTGGGGAGGGCACCAAAAAATCCCAGATCCTTAGCCCCATCTTGTTCCTGCCATCTAGCTTGAGAGTTTTTCGGAAGTGCTTCGTGCATTTCATCTAGTGTCAGTCTGTCTGTGAAGCACATGGCAAAAACAAATCCAGAGCCCTCATGGGAAAGGATGATGGGCTGCTGATTTTATTCTCATCATCTGTAAGCGCCTTCCTTGTGCAAAGCTCTAAGGGAGGGTGGAGAAGATGTGGAAGGCAGAAGCTGTGCAGGAAGGCAGGATGCTGAGGAAGCTGGGTCAGGCCAATTTGGGAGCTTTTGGGGAGAGGGACTGAAACTGGCGCTCCTTCCCCCACCCCAGATGGTTATAAGGTAGTCTTCGTGCGCCGGAGCCCCCTGGTGCTGGTGGCAGTGGCCCGGACGCGGCAGTCAGCGCAGGAACTGGCACAGGAGCTGCTTTATATCTACTACCAAATCTTGAGCCTTCTCACTGGCGCGCAGCTGAGCCACATTTTCCAGCAGAAGCAAAACTATGATCTGCGGCGCCTGCTCTCGGGCTCGGAGCGCATCACAGACAACCTGCTGCAGCTCATGGCGCGAGATCCCAGCTTCTTGATGGGGGCCGCACGCTGCCTGCCTCTCGCGGCTGCAGTGCGCGACGCAGTGAGTACCTGCCTACAGCAGGCGAGAGCGCGCAGCCTGGTCTTCTCCATCCTGCTGGCGCGCAACCAGCTCGTGGCGCTCGTGCGCCGCAAGGACCAATTTCTGCACCCCATTGATCTGCACCTGCTCTTCAACCTCATAAGTTCCTCCTCATCCTTCCGCGAGGGCGAGGCCTGGACGCCCGTGTGCCTGCCCAAATTCAACGCAGCCGGCTTCTTCCACGCACACATTTCTTACCTGGAGCCCGACACCGATCTCTGCCTGCTGCTTGTCTCCACGGACCGCGAGGACTTCTTTGCAGTCTCTGACTGCCGCCGCCGCTTTCAGGAGCGCCTGCGGAAGCGCGGGGCTCACCTGGCCCTGCGGGAGGCACTGCGCACGCCCTACTACAGTGTTTCCCAAGTGGGCATCCCCGACCTGCGCCACTTCCTCTATAAGTCGAAGAGCTCAGGACTCTTCACCAGGTGAGGGTGGTTGGGGACGCTGCTTGAGGGAGACGGGGTTGCAGCGAAGAGGGCTAGTAGACTTGTGGCGGGTCCCTTTTACTGTGACCCAGGATCTCAGACTCGCTGGCATAGGCCGCTCTACATTGTTAACCAGAAAGCTTTGAAATACCCAGTAAACCGCAACAGACATCTGGTCCCCTTGCCCTGGAGCACTAAGGGTCATTTTGGTTCAGCCCAGGATCACAGCTCCTTCACTTCCTTCCCCAACAGAGAGGCTGGGGCCAGATGTGGCAACTTCTATCCTCTGTTTGCCCCTTTTGGGTCCAGATGGTTCCCAGCTCATCTTCCTTCTACTTTATTTAGACCTATCACTTTGTCTTGGATTGGCCTGCCTAAGGGAAGGTCACCAAAGATGTCATGAACTTGGGAGAGGGAAGGAGGGAAGGAGCACAGGGTTCTATCTAGGTGGGCCCAGCCCTGACCTGGGGAGTTTCCTGTGGTAGGGAGGCTGCCCTGTCCTAAGGAAGCATTTGGAGGGTAGGACACACAGTCAAGTCACACCCGCTAGAAATGGATGTTTCTAGATCTCCAGACAAGGCAATGAAAACCATTTGTCTGTGAACCTGCTTCTCCATCTCCAGCCCTGAGATTGAGGCCCCCTACACCAGTGAAGAGGAACAGGAGCGGTTGCTGGGTCTCTACCAGTACCTGCACAGTCGTGCCCACAACGCCTCCCGCCCTCTCAAGACCATCTACTACACGGGCCCCAACGAAAACCTCCTAGCCTGGGTAAGATGGCCCTGGGTGGGCTGGGCTTCACTGGGTGCTGGACAGGAGACAGGAGGGGATGTCTAATCTGGATGACCACCCTGTGCCCCTCCTCCAGGTGACAGGTGCTTTTGAACTCTACATGTGCTACAGCCCCCTGGGGACCAAGGTATCAGCCGTCAGTGCCATCCATAAGTTGATGCGTTGGATCCGCAAAGAAGAAGACCGCCTCTTCATCCTTACACCCCTCACATACTGATGAGATTCTATGGGTTCAGTCCTCCTAGGCCCACGGGGCCATCGGAGCCTCCAGGTGGGGCAGGCCTCTCTTGCCCAGGCAGCAGGCAGGGACTGTGGGTTGGTGCATACATTAAAGTACTTTGGATAGACACTTGTTGGGTCTTATTGCTGGTTCCTTCACTCACCCACTCTCGCGCACATACACAGTCTCTCACTCAGGCACGGAGCCCCCAGCCCGTGCTTCCCCAGGCACAGGAGCACATACATATATAAAGGCCTTTCTTCCCTCCTTCACACAGAAGCCTCCGCACATATGCTCAGTCAGACCCTGGCCTGGGGCTGTTTTCTACCAAGTGTAGCTTTTTCCCTCCCCCGTGCCCCTCCCCTACTCAGTGTGAGCCCCTGGTACTCTTTCCCTCCTAGTTGGAGCCTCCAGCTATGTGCCATGAAGGACCACCCAGCTATCCTGCAGCAGTTCATCAGGGGCTGAGCTGATTGAAATAGGGAAAGTCAAGTTTTACCCTTGGTATGGCAGGGAGCTTTTGGTGAAGCTCAACACAAATTCAGAATCTCTCCTTTGTAGCTGGGGAAACCGCCCCAGCTTAGGCTTTCCTATGAAGGGCTGTCACTTCAGTTTCCTACCTGCAGCCAGTGCAGTGCTAGGAATGAACGCCAAAAGTGAGCTGGAGGGCCAGAGAGAAGATCTAGCTGATCCCAAGAGCAGAAGTGCTGCTCTAAGAAGGGCTGATGCCACTAGGTACACTGGGGCCGTCTTCAGTCACCCTGTTCCCTAGTATGGCCTAGTTCCCTGGTATGGCTACGGTGGATATCCCAGAAGGCCCAGCAGTGACGATTTACCCCAATCATAGCATGACATCCTTTTCGGGCAGAGCCCACGGCAGTGCAGAAAGCCTCTACCTTGCTGCTAGGGGGCTCTCCCAGTTCCACTGTAACTTAACCATCTCATTAGCCTGGGAAGTGAGACTCTGGAAGTGTTTATAGGAGATAACAGTTGGGTGCTCTTTTCTGCCATTTTCTGTTTCTGTTCTTCCCCCTACTCTCTTTGAGTTGAAAGGCTGGCTCTGGTTTTCTGGAGCAGTGTTCAGAGGAGAGTAAGAGTCTTAAGGGGACAAAGTGGTTAATATTTCTCCAAGGTGACAGACGCCACAGTAGTTGGGCTCGTCCTAAACCAGATATGAGCGAGGCCCTGAAATCACCTTGGGGGAGCAACTTGGGGGGCCCTGTAGGGTCCTACTAGCTGCCTTCCCCCACAAAGCCTTCCTGCCTCCCTCCTGCAGCGCTAGCTGATGGGGAGGAAGGAGAACACTCCTTTGGACAGTTGCTGTTAAGGGCCAGGCTACCTGCAGGGTACCCAGACCTGGGAGCAGGCATCAATTTGACCACATGGTAGCAGCAGAGAACCAGCTATTGAGTGCCACCTCCAAAATGGGTGGACTGGTGATCAAGGAGCTGTGAAGTCCCCTCCAAACCCAAATGTCCTGAGAGAGGAGAGAGTCACAAAAACCTACTTTTAAAGGCAAGGTAGAAAATGTTTCCTTTCAATTTTCCCTGTTACTATCTCTAGACATGTTGATTAGGGAACATAGGAACCTTGCCACATTTTCAGTGGGTGTTTATTCATTTCCGGGGGCACTTCAGTTTAGAAAAGGGAGTGCCTTTTTTGTTGCCTCAGGCACAGTATCCAACCAGCACTGGGCGTAGCCACGTTTCCTCTTTGTCACCAGGGGCTCACTGAATCCAGACGGGGGCTGCTTTCAGAACTCTGAATTGGGGTGGGAGGAATCAGGTATCCAGCGCAAACTGTGCTACTGTGGGTGTAGCACAGGGTCTGTGGGATCAGGAAATGAGCCTGGATCCACCTAGAACAGGAAGGCTTCCTGGAGGAGGTGCTACCTAAGCTGCAAAAAGAGTTAGGGAAAAGCATGTTCCTGGTAAGATGAGGTATGTGTTGGGTGGGAAAGCAGAGGAGTTACAGCTCACTGGACCAACTGTGTTCCTTTACCCCTCACCACCCAAAGCCCTTTACTACACCCCCTCATCCCCCAAAGCCCTGGAGCCCCAAGGTCACAGGCCCCTTGGACTTGAGTCCAGGACCACCTTGTGAAGGTGTGAAGACCCTCCAGGTCAAGGCCCACCTGGTGGAGGGACTCTGAGCATGTCCCTTACCGTCCACCTCCTCCAGTGTTAGGGGGGATCACTTACCAAAAGGCAAGTTACCAAAGGTTCAGGTAAGAGATGGCAAAAGCAGTCCTTGTGGCTTCCCCATCCCCATCGCAGCCTGGAGGGAGTTCTGGGCAATTACCTTGTCAGAACTCTCATTTCAGAGACTGAGAGACAGGCTTGGCAGGCTTACAGAGCAACCCTATGCTTCCCGTCTATCAACGGGACTCTGGGCAAGGCCAGAAAGGAAGGCCAGCTCTGTGCCTTTTATCCTCTACCTACAGCTCCCACATACTAAGGTAGCGGCAGAGAGACCAGTGCTAAAGTCAGCTGCCTCTCTTCTAATTTCCAGCATGATGGCCCCACATTATAACCCATGTTCCCCTGAGCGGGGCAGAAAAGGGGCATGTAACTTCCTCTATTGCCAACAACCCAAGGCGGCCCACGGAAAGATAGCCCTGCCTACACAAGGTGGAGCCACACCATCCCCTACTGGGATTTCCCCTCAGTACAGCTCCCCTCAGTACAGCTCCTTCCCCACATTCCTGATCTCTGTTACCCACCAAGTCCAGCTGGAGAACGAGTGTCTGAGGATGTTGCTGAAAATTTACTTCAAGGGAATGTTAGGCCACCCAGGGCAGCTCAGGGGGGCCAGAGCAGTCCCCTGACCTTACAATCTACTGATCGTGTCCAGGAGGAGGCAAATATCATAGGAACAGGGCTCTGCCCACATTCCTGGTTGTGCAGTTTGGGGGTTGCCTGGGCCTTACATCATCGTTGATGCATTCTACCTAGGCTGTTCAGAGCTCTGAGGCTAGCTAGCCCCTTTGGTATAAATTCTCTCTCCCTCGGCTGGCCCCGCCTCCCCTGGAGTCCCCAGTAAACCGCCCTGTGCGCTCCTTTGGGCAACACCTAACCGGGAAAAATGAGGCAGCCTGTCCTACAATTCTGCTCTTCTCCGTCCACCTTCCTTGGTTTTGAAGGCAGGATGAGAAGGCCCAGGCCTATTTACCTCTCCCCACGTACACCAAACCACAGGTCACAGGGAGGAAAGGCCCTAGAGCGGTCGTAGAACCCAGGCTTCCGAGGGCGGAGGTCGGGTGGGCGGAGGCCGGGCTGGGCCAGGCGTCCAACACCGTCCCGCCTACCGCTCCGCCCACACCCGGGCGCCGCGGTCCCGCCCGGCGCCCGCTGGCTGACTTTGCTCTCTGCGCGGACTTGAGCTGCGGCTGGATGGGCAGGTGAGGGCGGCAGGTGAGGCGAACATTCCATTCCCTGCCAGGGTGTGGGTCCACCGTGCCAGGTGCGCCGACCTGAGGGGAGGGGGCCGTCCCGAGACCTTCGGGCGGGGATCGGTTGCCTCCGCACTCTCAGGACCCGCGCTGGCCCCAGCCCAGACACCGAAACCCTTCCCAGCCGGGACGGGGCCTGCTGCAATCCCCGCCGGTCCCCAGCGCTACCTCGATGAGGCTGCCCCCGCACTCCCTTTTGCTGCTCCTGCTGCTACGGGCGGTGCCGGTGGTGGGCGGGCCTTGGCAGTGCCTACGCAGCCCCCATACAGCTTCCCGCGACTTCGATGTGAAGTACGAGGTGCCCAGCTTCTCAGTGGGGGCTCCGGTTCAAGCCGTGGCAACCTATGATGGCGATGAGGAAGGGAGTGCCGTGTTTGTGGGCACACGCAATCGCCTGTATGTGCTTGGGCCTGACCTTCAACTGATTGAGAGCCTGGTCACTGGCCCTGCTGGGGACCCTGGCTGCCTGACGTGCGCAGCCTGTGGCCAGGGCCCATATGGGCCACCTGGTGACACAGATTCGCAGGTGCTGGTGTTGGAGCCCGGCCTGCCCGCACTGGTCAGCTGTGGCTCAAGTCTGCATGGCCGCTGCTTTCTGCATGAGCTGGAGATCAACCAGACAGCCCTGCACCTGAAACCTCCAGTTTGCCTCTTCTCAGTGGACCACAACCGGCCGGAAGACTGCCCTGACTGTGTGGCCAGCCCTCTGGGCACTGTTGTGACTGTGGTTGAACAGGGCCATGCCTCCTACTTCTACGTGGCATCCTCACTGGATGCGAAGGTGGCAGCTAGCTTCAGCCCACGCTCGGTGTCCATCAAGCGCCTCAAGGCCGATGTTTCAGGATTTGAACCAGTCGTCAGAGGGCTGTCAGTGCTGCCCAAGTACCTGTCCTCCTACCGTGTCCAATACGTGCACAGTTTCCGCTCCGGAGACTTCGTCTATTTCCTGACCGTGCAGCCAGCTATCGAGTCCCACACTCCTGGAGTTTTACAAACACGTGTGGCACGGCTCAGCGCTACAGAGACCGAACTGGATCACTACCGAGAGTTAGTCCTCGACTGCAGTTTTGCGCCTAAACGCAGGCGGCGTGGAGTTCCTGAGGGCTTGCAGCCCTACCCGGTGCTAAGGGCGGCCCACACTGCTCCGGTGGGCGGCCGACTAGCCGCTGAATTGAGCATCAAAGAGGGCCAGGAAGTGCTATTTGGGGTCTTTGTGACTAGCAAAGGCAGTGACCCGAGCATGGGTCCCAGCTCTGTGGTCTGTGCCTTTCCGGTTCACCAGATGGACACCCACATCGAGCAGGGCGTTAATCTCTGTTGTGAGTCTTCAGGCCGGCCAGCTCTCCAGCGAGGCCTCAACTTATTCCAGCTGCCCAGTGTTTGCCCCAACACGGTGAGCAGAGAGAAGGTGCCCTCACCTGTGAGCAGTATGTGCAGGGCTGGATGGAGGCTGTGTCACTGCCACCACTGAGAGCATCTGGGTGGGGCGGGCGGGCACACAGGAGTGTTCTCTTCTGTCTAATTCCTTTTGGCTGAAGGTGGTTAAGGGAATCAGCCAGAGGCCACACTGGAGGCTCATTTCCCAGCCCCATTTTGCTCTTTCACTCCCTCATTAATCATGGCCGCCGATATTTTAGATAGTTTCCCTGTTTGCGTGAGGACCAGGTTACATAACTGTCTCTCTGCCAGATACACTGCCAGACTCTGAGTAGATAGGCAGATCCTCCTGCCTGCCCACTACATGTATCCTCAGGGACACACAGACCCCTTCCCACCACCACCACACACACCACAGAGGCAGATGGTCAGAGTCACATGGACTCCCAGCTGTTCACCAACAGTTTCACTTTCCTTAAGGAACACTTGTTCTGCCTTCCAAAGAGGATGGGGCAGGAGTTGCTAGAGACCCCCTGTGGTCCCCCCACAGTTCAAGAGGGCCTCCTGGGCCTTGGGGGTTGAAGAGACTTATTGGGGAGCCTGCATGGCTGGAACTTCACTGACAGGCGCATTTCTGGTTGTTCTCATCAGAGTGATCGGGGGGAGGATCCAGGATATGGTGGGAAAGCAGCTTGCTTCTAGTAAATTCCAGCGGCTCACCCAGTCTTGTGTAAGCAACTATAAACATCTGGGATGAGTAAATGCCTAGGAGGGGCTGCTGAAATTGGATCATCGCACAGGAGATCTAGACTTTCTCCTACCATATTTGGAGCCCTGCCCCTGATCTCACCTCAGGCAGGTCTTCTAGACCGTGCTAAATTGGGGGTTCCTTCCAGAAGACCCTACCCAGGTTTTCTCAGCCATGGTGTCAGGGACCTAGAGCAGAGACAAACAGGGCATTCTTTAAAATGCTTCCCTGTGGACAAAACCAAAACTGACCCTTACAAGCCATTGAAACAGTATCACCCCAGATTATAGGACATTAAACCAAAGAGATGTAGTGAACAGATGGGTGGCCACTAGATGAGTGGCCTTCCAGTGGGTGGCCCACAGTCTCCGATCTCGGTGTCACTGCTGTGACATTCTCCACTGATTCCTGCATTGATGACCCAATGATGGGGAAACCTACATACTAAGAGGTGGGGGATCTTCAGCCTGCCTCCCTCAGTTGAGTCCATCTAGGTTGAGGGGACCTTAAGGGTAGGAGTCTCTTGTCAGAGCCTGCATTGCCTTGCCTGCCCCTCTCCCCATCCCTCTGGGAAGTCAGAACCTCTCCCTGAAGTCAGAACCACTCGGCTAGTGGTCAGTAGGTCAGCAGACAGTGAAAGCTGGCAGTGTCGCCAGAAGGACTAATCTCGAACCCTGCCCATGGGCTGGTTGGGCCCCTAGAAAGTATGTGAATCAGCTTGTGTACAGTATTTGTCCAGTAACTGGGCATGTGGCTTCCAAGGCAACACCCACTATGTGGTCAATGTGGCTCACCTCAGGAAGCCTGAAAGGCTTACAGCTGATACCTGCCCCCATGGGTTTAGGTTGGGTTCTAGACTGGGAGAGTGACCCTTCTCGATTGGACATTAGGCACTTAAATGTCCAGGGGGCCCTAGAGCCCCCTGGTCTCTAAATAAGCCTGGGAATCCAGAGCTAAGGCCCTGGCACCCAGGGCAAGCAGGCAGGGGTGTGGCCCTGGCTGAGGTAGGGCCTTTTTTCTACTCCACAGCCCCACCTGCTCCTGAGTCATACGGCATACACTTGGCTGACTTCCTGCTAAAGCTTGGCCCCTTATCTGTCTCAAATGGGGATAGAGTCCCAGTTCCTACCTGCCCGGGCTACAACTCCAAAGTGTGTGGCATTCCAAAACTTGCCCTTGCCCCCGGGGCTCCTGATCATCTCCAAGGTCTCAAGACGAGGTTAAACATACTTGATCTGATGCTGGACCTTGGAGACTACAGCCTTGAAGAGTGCCGTCAGGACTGGCAGGAGAAGAACCCAATAAACTTGGGTTACCGATCCCTACCTGCACTTTGTACTGGGCATACAAAACCTGGTTTACTGGTTTCCCAGAAATTTCTGTAACCCCAAAACACCCTCTTGTTAAGAAGAGTGCTTAGCGAAGTTAGTAGTCAGGCCTTCAGGACTTGTGTGCCCTGAGGGAAGTACAGGTAGCAAGAGGGAGACCTCTGGAGTCTCTGGGACATTAACAACCCTGGGCTGGCCAGTTACACCTTGGTGGCTAAACGGAAGCACATGGTATTTGCGAAGTGCAGGGTGGGCCAGCAGGGGGCGGGAGAGGACTCTCATTAAGAACTCAGCCCTCCAGTCTGGCTCCTCTCCCCAAGGGCCTTAAAGGATTTAAACAAATGACCAAAGCCTCTGTTTCCTTATATGTAAAGTGGGGGTGGTGAGGACACCCATGCTACAGGGTGTTTGTGATAACAGGATGGGGTTGGGTCTATAAAACTTGAGCTCATTTTCAAAATGGACGCATCAGAGGAGAGCATGAAGTAAGGGACCCCACCTTCCAGCCTGGGCTTTCTTCCTTGGCCTTGTTACCTCTAAGGGCCCTGTGGGAGGGGGTGATTGTCAGGACAGGGGCCTTCTCTAGGCAGGGCAGTGAGTGGTACAATTTGGACTGCTGTAGTCACTAACAGAGGCCCCAACGGGGCAATGTGTGGGGATGAGCTCTGACTCCTTCCCTGACTCTCCCTAGCCCGGCATGGTAGCCCCCAACACCAGCTGCCACCACTTTCCTCTGCTGGTCAGCAACAGCTTCTCACGCGTGGACCTGTTTGATGGGCTGTTAGGATCAGTGCAGCTCACTGCACTATATGTGACACGTCTGGATAATGTCACAGTAGCCCACATGGGCACAACTGATGGGCGCATTCTACAGGTAAGTCCCTCATCTCCACTGTCCCCTGTCCTCGATTCCCATCCCTATTCTGCTCACAGCTGACCTATCTCAGGTGGAGTTGGCCAGGTCTCTCAACTACTTGCTGTATGTATCCAACTTCTCACTGGGCAGCCATGGGCAGCTTGTGCAACGGGATGTCAGTCGCCTTGGAGACCACCTGCTCTTTGCTTCTGGCGACCAGGTAAGGTGGGCAGAGGCATGGCCTGAGGCCAGAGTTATGGGCACCGACCTCTCCACCCAATCCAGGGTACTGACACATAGGTCTCATCACCCTGGGGTCTTAGGGATCTATGTGTCCTAGTTACCTCCTCCGGTCAACCTGTGCCATCTATCTTATTGCCACTCCAAGGTATTCAAGGTACCTATCCGGGGCCCCGGCTGCCGCCACTTCCTTACCTGTGGGCGTTGCCTGCGGGCACAGCGTTTCATGGGCTGTGGCTGGTGTGGAGGCATGTGTGGACAGCAGGAGGACTGTCCTGATTCCTGGCAACAGGACCATTGCCCACCTAAGATTACTGAGGTATGGCTTGTCATAGGGCACAGGTAGGATGAAAAAAGTTGGGCCTGGGTTGGGGGTCAGCAGGTCTTAATTGTGATCTTCCAGAGGCCTAGGATGTCCTCAGTGTCTACGAAGAGGCGGAAGTGGCAGAGGTGATGGCACATGCAGAGGAGATGAAGGCAGAAAAGTGCTTGAATGAGGAGTAGCAAGTGGCCTAGAATGAGTGAATTGTGGGCTGGCAAGGGGTGTGGCATGAGACTTTGGGGAAAACAGATATATGAGAGCTCTGACCCACAGAGGACTCTCTGCTCTCCGGCCCTCAGTTCTACCCTCACAGTGGACCTGTAAGGGGCAGCACAAGGTTAACCCTGTGTGGTTCCAACTTCGGCCTGCACTGTCCTGGGCAGAAGCCTGAGCCCACCATTCAGATCACCGTGGGCCAAAGTCCCTGCCGGCTGCTGCTCAGATCAACCCACAGGTACGATGTGGTCCCTGCCCTCCATATCCCTGATGTGGGCAACCAAGCACCCCTGCCTGTGAGAACTTGGCCTCTGCTTATCGAGGGCTAGGAGGCAGGGGGTAAGCTGCAATGACTAACGGCTTTGTGTCTGGAGAAACCTGCCCGTTTGTAAGCCTGCATATGCCCTATCTGTCAGTTGAGTCATGGACCTGGCCAGGTTAACCCTGTCACATGCTACCTACCCTAGAGGAAGGCCTGGGTAGAGATGCCCAGAGGAGACCTGGGATGCGATCATGCCTATATGACCCCTGGCTGACCTTGGATTCCCCTGGTACCCCAGGCAAATGTACCGGAAGGACTTTGGAGAAGAGCTTGAGTGTGAACTGGCCCCCTCTGGCCTGCAGGCAGTTGGGCCTGCCAACATTAGCCTCACCATAACCAACATGCCACCAGACAAACACTTCCGAATAGATGGCTCTTCTATGCTGCAAGGCTTCTCTTTCATGGTGAGGTCACCTTGCTTTGTTTGTGTCCTTAGCCAGGGAAGGTGATACAGGCAGGGAAGTGCTTGGTGTGGAGGACCTCCTACTCCAGGCTGAGCCACTTCCATACCCTCTTAGGAGCCAGTGCTGAAAGCAATACAGCCCCTCTTTGGCCCACAGGCAGGGGGTACCTGCCTCACCCTTGAAGGCCAGGGCCTGTCTGCAGGCACCAATCGGGCTGTGCTGGTCAACGGGACTGAGTGTAAGCTGAAACAGTAAGTGCCAGATGGCCGGGGATGGGAGACCACCCAGGGGAGCCCTCAAGTGGGACTTGGATCCCTGTCAGGGCAGAGGGAGGAGGCTTAATCACATGGTCAGTGTAGGGAACAGCTCCAGAAAGAAACATCTGTTGCCTGCTCCAGCCCATAAGTGGTTTGGAGATGGCAAGAGAGCCCATCAGAGTCCCCTGGCTCCCATCAAGGTTGTGGGGAACTTGTTCACTCCCCACCTTTTCTGAGACCACCCTCCCTACCCCCATCTTTACATATACTCAAGGAGCATGAGCAGGTGAGGGAAACGACCAACAGAGAAACTGGGAGGGATCAGGAGACCCCTGAAGAGGTAGGCCTGGCCATCATGTGAAAGGTATCTCTAAGCCCAATCCCCCTGTTCTGCAGGGTCAGCGAAGCGCAGCTTTTATGTACCACACCCCCTGGGGCTGCTACGGCCAGGGTTCCCATTCGCCTGCAGGTGGGAGGTGTCGATGTGCCTGGCTCCTGGACCTTCCACTACCAGGAAGACCCCATCATGCTGGGCATTAGCCCCAACTGCGGCTACAAGTGAGTACCATCTCCTTCCTCACAGTGGGTTCCAGAGAATGAGGGTGCCAGCCTCTGAGAGCACCCCAAGCCTACCACCCTGCTGTCCTTCACAGTGGTTCCCATGTTACCATTCATGGCCAGCATTTAACTTCAGCATCACATCTGGTTCTGTCATTCCATGACGGGTTTAGGACCGTGGAAAGCAGGGTAAGTGGGCACTGGCCAGGAGGGAGGAGGGCAGGACCGGTTCCTTAAATTCCAGCCCCACTCCTTACTGGACTGAGGAGACTAGCGCAGCCATAATAGGACAACTGGCTAACCACTCTCCATGGGCCCCCGACAGTGCGCGAGGCAGCTCCCAGAGCAGCATTGGTGCCGCCTGCCTGAATATGTGGTCCGAGCCCCCCAGGGCTGGGTGACAGGGAACCTGAGTGTCCGGGGAGATGGAGCTACTGCCTTCACACTGCACAACTTCCGCTTCCTACTCCCACCCCACCCACCCAGCGTAAATCTGGCTCCACTGAAACCTGAGGAACATACCATTAAATTTGAGGTAAGTGTGGGGAGTGGGGCCAGGAACATTGCAGGAGGCTGGAGCTAATGCCAGTCCAGAGATGGGGGTCATTGACCAGTCCTCATGAATGTCCCTGCAGTACATCGGGCTAGGCGCCGTGGCGGATTGTGTGGATATGAACGTGACTGTGGGTGGTGAGAGCTGCCAGCATGAGCTTCGGGGGGATGTAGTCATCTGCCCCCTGCCTCACTCCCTGCAACTCGGCGAGGATGGCACCCCACTGCAGGTAGGGAGCGCGGCCAGTTTCCACAGGAGGCATGGGCCCAGGCCTGCAACCTGGACCTGAGCTGCTGCTTGTCCCCAGGTCTGCGTGGATGGTGAGTGTCATAGCCTGGGCACCGTGGTCCGGCCAAGTCTAGAGGGGGTTCCACAGAGGACACTCATCGGGGTCCTGCTGGCCCTTCTTGTGCTTGTGTCTGTACTGGCCTCCGTGCTGGTCTTCAACTACCGGCGGAGGAGACAACCAGGTGAGCTCTATTCCCATTCCACCACCCAGTGGCACCTCCCAGTCCATTTCCTCTCTCCCCACATCTCCTAGGGTAGGGCTGGCCTGGGCAGGGGTTGGAAGACGGCCATCAGGGGCTCTCTTTCTGCAGTTGGTTCTCTAATGCTGGATGAGCTGCCACCCCTGAGTAGGAACTTGAGAACCATGCTGCAGACTCAATTGTCCTCAGAGTCTGACTACAGAAGTGGCCTTGGTGAGAAAGTGAAGGTGCTAGCAGCTGGGGCTGTCCCTTCTGCCCACAAGCTCCTCACACCTCCTCCTCCACAGCAACCCCTAATGTTGATGGTGTGGATTCCCCCACTTGGGTGCACAGAACATCCTTCTCAGACAACGGGGACGGGTCCTGTGTCCCACTGCTACGGACAAAATCCATCCAGCTTGGGGAACTGGACTCTGCGCTCCTGGCTGAGGTCAAGGATGTGCTGATTCCCTATGAGCGGGTGATCACCCACAGTGACCAAGTGATTGGCAAAGGTATGGGAGCCTGGCCTGCTGGGGTAGTCAGAGATGGAGTCCGAAGATGGCATGGCCTCAAGGGGATAGTTGGGCAAGACTGTGGGGTGACCTTCTCACCAACCTGTGGGACCTTTCTGAGCCTCCACTTGTTCATCTGTGAACAAATAGCCCTGTCTTGAGTGGGTTTCCTTTTTTCAAGAATTATTTTATGTATTTATGCATGCAAGAATTTGGGTGTAGGCCAGAGGTGGGGGGGGGCGGTGTTGAGAGGATTTACCAGTGATGCAGTAGGAAGCAGGGGAGGCAGATCTACTAAAATGCCCTGCTGAGGGAAACAGCAGCTGAGACAGAAGAGGTCTGCTGCACCACGTGGGTCACTTCCCTGGCCAGGAATCGAACTAATTCCGCAGTGGCTAGTGATAACTTCATAGCACCGATACTTCATGGCCAGCACCATCAGAGAGGCTCTTCAGTGGATTCTGGTGCACCGTGTGACTACTGCTAGTTTTCAGTATCTGATTGGCCAGTTGGTGCTCAGAGGCACAATTACAATGACAGGGTGTGGTACAAACCCTGAGCACTGGGATCCCTTTCCCCATGTCCCCCTTCCAGGCCACTTTGGAGTTGTCTACCATGGAGAATACACAGATGAGGGCCAGAATCAAGTCCACTGTGCCATCAAGTCACTGAGTCGTAAGTCAGGCAGAGGCTGCTGTGCTGCTGTCTCCCTGAGTGACCCCAAGCAGGAGGCCTTTCTGCTCTGCTTCCCCCTCTGCCCTTGCAAAGGGCCTCCCTGCCCTGAGCCTGACTCAGGTCACTCCACAGGCATCACGGAGGTGCAGGAGGTGGAGGCTTTCCTGCGCGAGGGGCTGCTCATGCGTGGGCTGCACCACCCAAACGTGCTGGCTCTCATCGGTATCATGCTGCCGCCGGAGGGGCTGCCTCGCGTGCTGCTGCCCTATATGCATCACGGAGACCTGCTCCAGTTCATCCGCTCACCCCAGCGGGTCAGTGCTTACCTGGCCCTTGGTCAGGGGCTTGGGCAGCAGCTGGGGAGGGCGGCACTGTGCCCTTGCTCACTGACCCACCTGTGTCCTCAGAACCCCACAGTGAAGGACCTCATCAGCTTTGGCCTGCAGGTAGCCCGCGGCATGGAGTACCTGGCAGAGCAGAAGTTCGTGCACAGAGACCTGGCTGCTCGGAACTGCATGTGAGGGTCCAGTGCAGCTGGGGTGTAGCAAGGGGGCAAGGTGTCAGGATGGGTAGCTGCCTACAGTTGCCCTAGGGAAGCACCCAGGCTCTGGTCCTTGCCATGGAGCCCTGAATGTATTCTCCCTTCTCTGGGCCTCAGCTTTCCTCTTTGCCCAGTGCAGCTTAGATTGGACACTGTGGCTTTGAAACCATATAGGGGCATGGAACAGGTGGGTTCAAGGTCTTGTGGGGGCCAATCCTGAGTCCGATTCCCCTCTCCCAGGCTGGATGAGTCATTCACAGTCAAGGTGGCAGACTTTGGTCTGGCCCGGTACATCCTGGACAAGGAGTACTACAGTATTCGACAGCACCACCATGCTCGCCTACCTGTCAAGTGGATGGCTCTGGAGAGCCTGAAGACCTACAGATTCACCACCAAGTCTGATGTGGTAAACCCCCACACCCCACCCCGGCCTCCATGTCCTGGACACTCAACCTTGCCCATTCAATTCTAGATGATGATCTGAGGAAATACCAGGCTGGGCAGCCTTCTAGTGCATCTGCCTATCTCTTGAGTAGGAGGAGGCTGGGAACTCATTTGCTCCTCACAGACAGTCCTAGCCCTGCCCAGTCCCAACTCTGGGCAGGATCATGTGGTGGGAGGAGACGGAGGGAAGATGCTAGCGATACAGAAGAACAGACTCTGTGTGCCCCCCACCCCCCGCCCCCCTTCCCAGTGGAAGGATAGAGGACTAGGCAGGCTCATCTGCCCCCAAATTTGGTATGAGAATTGGGTCTTCTTCTTCCTCCCACAGTGGTCATTTGGTGTGTTGCTATGGGAGCTTCTGACAAGGGGTGCTCCACCGTACCCCCACATTGACCACTTTGACCTCACTCCCTTCTTGGCCCAGGGTCGGCGTCTACCTCAGCCTGAGTTTTGCCCCGATTCTCTGTGAGTATGTGTGGGTGTTAATGGAGAGAGAGATGGGCCCCAGAGACAAGGAAGGAGCAAGAGACAGAGTTCTTGCCTCGTTCACTGACTCATCTCTGGTTGACCTGGAAAGAGACCCTCTCTGGACCTCAGTTTCCTCATCTGTGTACTGGTTCTGCCCCCATTCAGATGTAAGTGCTGAAAGGATATCGCAGTTGCCATGGTAACAGCATTCCCAACTCAGTCTCTGGGTTGAGGCCAGATTTGATTTGATTTCCCAGCACTCCTCTTCCCCCACCCCCGCCAAGGGGGACTGTTTTCCATCTTTTCCACTCATTTAACCTCAAGGAAAGGTTCTATTAGCTCCCACACTTGCCCCCTCCATGTCTCCAGATCAGATTTCTTTTCCACTGAGTAGCTCCCTGCCTTTGGAGGCATGGCGGCAGCTGTGTTGTCATCAGTGCCTGTGGGGTGGGTTTAGCGTCCAGGTTCAGTTTCATAAGTAGCACACATGCCTCGGCTATGTCAAGGTCTTTGTGGTTAGAGCAGGAAGAACCAGGACACAGGTAAAGGTAGTGGATGATTCCTGCCTCTGGCTGTGCTCCAGAAGGATATGAGTATAACCCTTTTTCACAATCCTGCCTGCCTTGGGTTTGATCTTTTATTCACATCACTAACACATCTGGTTTGAAGTAAGGGACATTCACTTCAGTACCTGTCTGCCTCTGGTCAGGCTGCCTGACCCCGAGCTAGAGACTTATAGGCAGGTGGTTTATTGGTAATAGGGACTAGGGAAGCCGGGCTGCGCAGGCAGGGGAAGCTGGGCTGTGATGCAGACGCAGTGGAGACTACAGTTCATCTCACAAGGGTTGCAGTAGCTGGGACAGCCCTTCAGAATTTTCCAAAATTGAGATTAAGGGAAAAGATCTTTGTATCAGACGCTCACTTCGTATCAGTCACTGGTCACAGCTGTTCCTGAGGAGGGAGTGTGAGCTTGGGGGAGGCGGTTCTTTCCTGCCTAGGGTAATTTCTAGAGGGGGCGTCAGCTGAGAAGCAACAACAGTCACTGAGATCGTGGCATACCACAGCATCTCTGTGGCAGGACAAGTCCCTTCTCTTCTTTGGGCCTCAGTTTCCTCATCTTTAAAGTTAGGATGGTAACAGTACCACCCTCAGGGAGTGTGAGCATTATATGACATTACTGTGTGTGAGGCACTTAGGTATAGGATGACATTCCCAAGATACAGGAGGGAGAGCAGGACCCACCAGGCAAATCCAGAGAAACTCTGCCTGGGAGCCCTGGAGCCACTAGTGTGGCCCCCAAGCCATCCTCTCTGGGCTTGCAATTCCTATTTCACTGGGCCAAGCTTCCTTCCCGGAAGACATGTGATGGTAACCATGATAGCATGTGGCTGGGCACTGAGCTACACTCCACAAGCAGCCTTTCACTTTATGCCCCAATAGTCCTATGATTAGAAGCGGATCCGTAGGCACAGAGAAGTTAGAGAACTTGCCTGAGATCACATAACTAATGCAGATCATGGGGCGCAGGATTCCAGCTCTTAACTCCTAACTCAACCGCTGCCAGATGGGAAGGCCGGACTAGAACAGTAATCACCACTATGAGAAGAGCTGCCCCTGCGTGGGTGATGCTAGCCACTGCCCTGCCATGTGTCCTCACTCACATGTGACCTGCCAAGGGGTAGGCGACCCAGAGAATCTTGCTGGAGGTGCATGCTCCCCTGACGCTGCTCGCTCCCCGCAGGTACACGGTGATGTGGCACTGCTGGGAGGCAGACCCGGCTGCACGGCCCACCTTCACCATGCTAGTAGAGGAACTGGACCATGTGGTGGCCATGCTGCGTGGGGACCACTACGTGCAGCTGCCCGTGGCCTACGTGAACCTGGGTCCTGGTGCCTCAGATGAGGCAAACATGACCCAAGAACAACTGCTATCTCCTCCTGTGCGCAAAATCACAGAGCGGCCCCGACCCCTCTCAGAGCCACCTTTGCCCACGTGACCACAGCCCTGGTCAGGTCCTCAGGGGCCAGAACTGCAGATCTGTCACAGGCTACCCCCAAGCTGCTTCTGAGCCATACCAGGCCAGGAGGTGACACGACCTGGCCTCTGCCCTCTCCTGCCCTTAACCGTAACCTTCAGGGACAACAGGAAGAGAGCAGGGCACACTGGCCCCTCACTCCACAGAGAGAGCCAGTGAGGCCCTTCATGCAGTGAGTATTTATGGAGCATCTGCTGTGTTCCTGGCCTTCTGGGCACAGGGGAATCAGCAAACACAGACACTGGCCCTTGAACTAGTAAATGAATAAATGACTATTCAGTTACAAGTGTGGTGAATGGTGTGGGGTGGAGGGGAACGGCAGGCTGCTCTGAGGGAATGAAGGGCAGTTTTACAGAGATGAAGAAAGGAGCGAGGGGAAGCTCTCCAGAAGGTGACATTTTTGCTGAGATCCTGACAGGTGGTAAGATTTTGCTGAGATTCCTGCCAGAAACAGAGTTGGGGAAGAGAGATTTTGGCAGAGTGAGCACATGCAAAGACCCTGAGGCTGCAAAGGAGTTGGGGCAGCAAGAAGAGAATAGGGAGGACAGGCCAGGGCCAGGATCAGATCAGAGGGCTCCAGGAACTTACAGAGGACACCAAGAGAGGCGTCCGGCAACCTCGATGGTGTCCCTCGCGGCTCAATCGCCTGTCCCCTTCTCAGGGCCCTAGCCCCTCTCCAGGGCTTCGTGTTCAACGCATGCTGCCAGGGCATGAAGACTTGCTCCCCTGCTCCTGAACCCTGCCAGCAGAGAGAGATGAGCCGGCAGCAAGCCCTGCTTCCAAGGCATCAGCTTCAAGGGCTATTTATACTTGTCAAGGCCACTGTACAATAG